GCCTGTTAGCCAGTTAAAACTGTTAGGGGCTCCATTTCACCCCTGCTGTGTGTGCCATCCAGTGGATTCAGAAGAATGGCTCCTCCTAAGGGCATCCAAGGGGAGTTACAAGTTGTGCTGCTAACCTCAAGGTCAACAGTTTGAAACCATGAGTCTGCTGGAGAAAGATGGGGCAGTTCTACTCCTGTTAAGAGTTACAGTCTCAATGAAGATGGCAACAAATGTACAAATGTGCTTGACACGATGGATGGATGGATGGATGGATTGTGATGAGTTGTACCAGCCCCCAATAAAATGATTTAAGGAAAGAAAGAAAAAAGTTATAGTCTCAGTAACTACCTGGGGCAGGCAGTTCTGCCCTGCACCATAGGGTCACTGTGAGTCAGAATCAACTCAGATGGCAATGGGTTTGAGTTTGTTACAGTTTCCAAAGCTGTCATTCTTAGGAGATCAAGTCATCAGGTCTTTTCAGTGAGTGGCTGGTGAGTTTGAACTGCCAGCCTTTTGGTTATCGGAGTGCTTAACTGCTGTGCCGCTGTGCCTACTTATTTCCTATCTAGAAAATAGGGATGATAATAATTCCTTCATAGAGCTGACAGGGCTATTAAGGTGCATCAGCAATTCTCAAAATTGTTGGTCCCAGGGTCTTGCCAATTAAAAAAACACCTTGAACAATTTTATCTGGGCTGTGTATCAACATTTACCATAGTTTAATGAAAACATTAATTTTTTAAAATGTCATTTTAAAATGACCATTACTCTTAACATATTTTTTTTGGAGAGAAATACATTCTAAAATGAAAGAATTTAATAGAAAGAAGTGTTTTTACATTTTTGCAAAAGTTCTTAAATATTTGCCTTCCTAGAAGACCACTGAATTCTCAAATGTGTTTTTTTAATGACTTTTTTTCCTTTCGGTTGAATATGTGAAAATCTGGCTGCACATTTATAGTTAGAAAGAAGAAAGTGTTTAAAGTCTTTTCAGATAATGGTGACTACTGTTCTTTGATGCAGTGCTCAAACACAGTCAGTGGTAATTTCATAAAGGCCAGTTGTAATGTACAGTGAAGCCATAGAAATAAACCGTTGTTTCATTAACATCCATCTTGTATTTTTAATGAATTTTTTAACCTTTGCATACTGTAGTAACTTAACATCAAACACTGGTAATTTGAAAACGGTTGGTTAAATTGTACAGATCTTCTAAATATTGACTAATTTCACCATAAAGCAAACAAAACAAACAAAGGGAAACCAAGCCCATTGCCTGAGAGTCTGTCCTGACTCATTGTCACCCGACAGGACAGAGTAGAACAGCCCCATAGATTTTTCATGCTAGCATATCAAAAAGACACAATTGTTAACATCATCAACCTATCAAGAAAATCATTTTAGTTATTAAGAAGCCATCAAGCTCAGGTGGCAGGTAACTATTTTCCAAACTTGTAATTTTTGCTTGAAAGCCTCGTTTTATCACTGACAGTGAACACTGACTGCATAGAGCCCCACTCCATTCATTTCAAGAGCGAGCCTGCAAATACTCCAGTCTTAGTAACCACAGTTTATCTGAAGTCTTTCTTCCAAGTAAAGGTGATAGATATCACAAGGGAGAAAAGCAGCAATTTTCTGCCGCGGCTCCATCACCCAGTGTTTTTCTTGAGAGTCGCGGCACTTCGGGGTACAGCAGAATCTCTTGGACAGTTTTTGGGTGTCCCCACAGAATGGCAAGGAGATAGATACTCAGGAGTTCAGATTAACTGAAAGTCACACTTGTAACGCTTCATCAGGGGCATTCTTAGCCATAGCTGGCCTTACTGTGACAGCTTGGCATGAATAATAGAGTGGCTTCCAGCGCAGTTTGGTACCTGCAGCTTTACATGACCCCCCTTTTTGCATAAAATTTGTCAAGGTATTGGTGGGCGAGGGAAGCACACCAGGCCTTAGTGTGATGTTGAAAATAGTCTTGACCGTGCAGCTAATACCCACCCCCAGCAGCAGACTGAAGACCCTACTTTGAGAATAGAAGTTGCATGATGTTTGGCTGACACTTAGCAGTGAGCTCTTTTCTTTCCTGTTCTTCTTTCTGCGTGGCTCATAGGCTGTGAGGCCAGTTGGTAGCCCTGGAACCTGGCCTCTGGGAGATGTGCTCTTTGGATGAAATCCCACTAGTGCGTCGTTCCCAGTTCACCAGAGGCCGCGGTCTCTGCTCTCTCTGGGCTGTTACTTTGAGACTGAAAACAAGTCTTGGTTCCAAATCAAACTTAACTGCTGGCTGGAGACTTCTGTAATCCTTGTTTTTCCCATACGGTGTGCAGGCAGTAAATACCCCTTTTGAATGTGACAGCCTTCCAAATCCTTTTATTAAGAGGTCTACCCCAGGGACCAGGGCTGCCTTGGCGCCCTTGAGTATGGACTTTGGGTGCCTTCCAAGCCACTGGCATTTAGCAAGGCTTCTAGTTGGGGGGGTGGGAGACTAGTTGTTGGGGAAAGCTGGGGCTTCCCTCATATTCTCAGCAAGGTCTTCTGACTCCTGGGGGAACAAACCCTAAAAACGGGCTGTATTGGGTTGTCCTTGGCAGTGGGGCTCAGCTGCCCACCCACTGTGCATTTCCAAGGGCACGGGCTGTGGAGAGCACGTCCGGAGGTCCCCTCTGGGCCTCTGCTCCCCATTGCTTTGCTTGGAGCTCTTGGAGGCTCTTCCCAGGCCACACTGGGGGCGGGGTGGCGGTGTTGGGGGGGGCCGGCGTTCTCGAAGGTGCACCTCCTCCTCCGCCGGCTGGCTGTCCCTCACTATCAGGTCCCCACCTGCAGAGTCAGGCCTAGGAGCCCTTCAGAGGGGCACATCCCCCCACCCCCAAGAGTATTTTAGGCCCGAGAACACACACACTCAGCTGGATCTGTGGGTTCCTCCCGGGACTATTGAGCTGTGCAAATTCGGGCTATTTGCGCTGCAGCCCCCACAACACGCGCTTTCCTCCCCCACGTTCCTCAGTCTGCACCCAAGTATTGTCATTAAAGCGGCCAGGCAGTCTGGTGAGTTCCAACCGTAGGCATTTTGGGAAAACTTTCCGGGTTCCGTGGGAGTGATGTGACTACCGACCGCTTGCTGGTGAGCGGCCGCAGCCTGGCGACAGTGATGTCCACGCAGTGTCTGCCCAGCGGGCGGGCGGCACACCTGCCAGCCCTCCGTGGGAGCCCCGCCGGGCTGGCAGCTTGACCAGTCAGAGTGGTTGCGGCACGCCCGGTGAGGGCGCCTGTTCCCCCTCGCTGATAGCTCTCTGGATTAAAGGGCACAGTTGTTTCCCACTTAAACAAATGAAAATGTAAAAATCCTGTGTGCTTGAGTTCAGCGGCATCACAGGCTGAAAGCTTGGGCTTGTCTGACAGCACACACGCTAACCCCTAACCCCTAGGATGTATGTCCGGTGCCCCGTCCTGCACAGGGAGCAGGGAAACCCCACACGAGGCACCGGGAGAATTGACCTGACGTGGGGAAGGCAGAAGAGTCACACCTAAATGGAACACTGACACGGGGAGGGTGCCGTTCACACCCCACTCAGCTCCGGGCTGCTCTGTTTAGGAGGGTGTCTCTGCTTGAGAAGAGGGTGCACCCTTTTTCGACTTAGCTTTCCGGACGGGGCATTTGACTGACCCATGCTAACTCGCACCTTTTGCATTTCTTTATGTATATTTTTACTTTTATGAACTTTTAGTTTAAGCTTGATTTACTCCCGAGCCACACGTTTTGGTTTCTTCGGTGTCTTCTGGGCTCTCTTTTCCTTTTGTGCAGCCTCTTCTGGTTTAGCAAGAGTGGTGTACCTTTTCCCTAAGAGGCGTCTTTCAGTGCGGCAAGGGGAGCTCACACCGGGGTCCATGCGACCATGAATCGTGTGAGTCTGCCGGTGCATCTTGGGGGCTTGGTTCATTAATGTGCTCATTAACTCTCTGGACTCCACATCGAAACCCTTACATTCAGTGTTCCTTTCTGCATTTTTACACCCGTGGAGCAAAATCCCGACACTCTTTTTAGGTCGCCACCACCGTATCCCACTGTCTAGCCTGGGCACGCCAACCAGCTCCACCATGGTAATGGCAGAGGGGCACACACTGTGTTTGCAGAGTGACATCTTTCAGACACTCGATAACTTTCCAGATACACATAAGCTTGTAGCTTGGCCAGTTTCATGGGTGTTCTTAAAATGGACTCAAAGATTTGACTTGTTGATTGACATGCTTTTGTGGGGTTTTCTGAGTCCGGTGAGTAGAGAGCCATGCTGGCAGATCACCTCAGGCTGAGAAGGGACGCGCCTCTGCATATCTTTGCAGCTTCTCGGTGCTAAAGTTGGCCACTCACAGTGTGTGTTCCCCAGCCTATGGCTTTCCCAGTATCCCGCCTCTGTGGTGTCACCAGGTAGCTCTGTCTATTCCTCTTTGAAGCCAACAAACCGAACACCAGTTATCCTGACTTGAAGTCTGATGATTAATGATCCCATGAGTGTTTTGTAAGGTTTCCCACAGTGTATTTTCCAGAGGTAGAGTGCCAGGGCTTTCTTCCTAGGCACCTGTGTGCACTTGAACTGTGAGCCTGGCGGTTAGGGGCCGAGTGCCTAACCATCTGCACCCTTCAGGGTTCCTCGTTAGCAGGTAAGACAGTCAGGGCACAGCACCTTTGGCTCGGCCCAGAGTGGAGACTCAGGGTGCAGACTGTGCCGGAGGCTGAGGCCTCCCCAGCCAGCCTCACCCTGAGCCTCAGAGCACGGTCCTCCTTTCCCACGAGGTGCCCTTCATGCTGCTGGGGCTTGGTAAACCTGTGTGCACTTACTCTTCAGTCAGCCCACTCCTCAAGGACTGAATCTGGTCAGTCTCCTCTGGGAAAATGCCCCTTCTCAGGGGGAGAGGAAGGTAAGGTGAAACCTGGCTCTGCTCTCCATTGCATGCTACAATGTGCAGCTTCGCGTTTCTGTGCCTCTCGCCACTACAGTGCCCTTTCTGTTTTTAAGGAAAGAAGGATTGTCCAAGTGTGGAAGATGCAAGCAGGCATTTTACTGCAATGTGGAGTGTCAGGTAGGTGCCGGGCCGTCTGGTAGGGAGGGCCTGATGTCCCCGAAGATCAGGACCCCAGCACCCCCTCCTCTTTAATCCAGTCTTCAGGGCCCAATCTCAGCACCTTCTGGTGGCTCCCGCCAGAAAGCTCAATTGTGGGATGGCATTTCAGTCTGGAGCCTCGATTGTGGAGAGCCCTGTTAAGAGACAGACCAGTCTGTCACCAGAGTTGACAGTTTGGCCCCAAGAACTCCTCGCCAGAATGAAGCTAATCTGAAACTTGGCTTGGGAAATTCAAACCCCTCCATTGGTCCTAGAGATTGTCCACATGGTTCACTTCCCGGCACTTCCTGTGGCTGGCTCCATGGGCTATGGGCTGAGGCCCAATGAGACTGTACCTGGAGCTTGTTGTGGAGTTGTCGGGGAGCATGCCCTGGTGGCGCTGTGGGTTACGTATTAGGCTGCTGAACGAACACAGTCTGCTGTTCAGACCTACCAGCCACTCCACAGGCGTCTGCTTCCAGGAAGGTTTAGTCTTGGAAAGCCTCCTTAGGGTCCTGGTGCGTTGGAATCGTGCTCATGCTTTGTTCCTGCCAATGGTGGACAGAGAGAGTGTATCAGGGGCTAGATCTCAGAAACTAGTGGATCTCAAGGTGTTTCAGGAGCAGGCCTGCCAGGGAATTCATCGGTTTGTATTTTTAAGTTAAACATGTCTAGAAAAATTAACCCCTTAAGCCCTACCCGAGTGAACCTTAATGATCCTTAGAGAAGCAATCCTAGACAATCAACATAAAATAGTAGGAAGACATGGTCCCAGCCGCCCTACTGTGTGCTGACTCTGAGTGTAGCAAGTCACAAACCATCTTTCAGGCTCGGCTTCTTCAGGTGAGAACTGGGGAAACAGCGCCCAGCAGCTGATGGGTTATAAGGGCCAAGTGCCAAGAGTAGATAAGGAGGTTCTGTATAAACCATGCAGCTCAGTACAGATGTGAAACTCTCAATCGTAATACTGTCACCTACAGTAAGGTAGAATTTGTTAAGTAGCATTCAGGCTGGGCTGAAGCAAAGCTTTATGCAAAGAATAAGCAGCAGACTTCAGATTTAAGGGGCTTAAAAAAATTCTAACCCTAAACTGAATAGGCAGCCTCTAGAACATGAGGACAAGAGTGGCACACCTGCTGCAAATGGGCTTCCCCTGCTGTGAGGTGTGCTGCAGACCCTTCTTCACAGAGTGCTGTGAAGCACAGGTGCCTCTGGGCTTCCCCTACAGGTGAGCTGCTATGCTGCTGGCCATTAGGTCTCCCAAGGTGACCTTATTTTGAAGAAGCATCACATAGAATAGGACCCCAGGCACCATTCTTTCAGAATTGCTGACTCAGAAAGCTCATTTATTGCCACGCATAACTGAATATGTCAACTTGGAGGGGCTAGGCTAGGATGCCAGCTTTTACTTGACAGTGAGCATTTTGTCAGCCCACACCCTGCCCTTAATTAAACCTCTTGAAGGTTCAAATCACACCGAGAAGACGTCTCAGTAGCAAGGAACCTCGGGGTGGCAAAAGCAGTAGTAGGATTGCCATGTTCAGGGGCCTTCGCTTGGGTGCAGGCTGATGATGGGGAGTTCCTTCTGCTAGTCACCCTGTCCCTGGACCAGGGCAGCCTCAGCCCTGGAGAGTACTCTGCCATTCCATTTTTCTTTGCTTCTGTTAAGTGCGTAGTGCAGAGGCAGGTGGGGAACCTTTTTTTCTACCAAGAGCCGTGTATATCAGTGGTTCTCAACCTTTCTAATGCCATAACCCTTTAATACAGTTCCTCATGTTGTGACCCCACAACCATAAAATTATTTTCATTGCTACTTCGTCACTGTCATTTTACTACTGTTATGAATTGGACGACCTCTGTGAAAGGGTTGTTTGACCCGCAAAGGGGTCGTAACCCACAGGTGGAGACTGCTGTCATAGAGGCTGTGCTTAAGGATAAAAAGTGGCACACCAAAAGCACTGAGATGAAGGCCATTGAATGATTTGACACCTAAGCAAACATTTTCCTCAGCCCCTGGAGGGGTCTTCTTCAGAGCAGGGCCCCACGTGCAGCCCTCAGGGGAGGAGGGCCACCAAGCAGGTGATTGAATTGGAACATTGGTTATCAGGTCCAACCCCAAGGTTAGAGAAGAAGCTAGTGTCTAGAGTGGATCGTGCCTGTCCAAGGTCACATAGTGGCAGACTGGGCCTCGACTTGTACACTCAGCTTCCAGTACTGTGTGTGTGGGAGTGGGGGGTGGGGGTGGGCACAGAGCAGGAGGAATGAGGTGAAAGGAGAAACTTCTTCTAATGCCTTTCTCTTTGTCAGAAACCTCTCCAAGACTCTAGAGCAGGCATCCCTCAAACTGCGGCCTGCTGAGAACATTTATCTGGCCCCCCCGGGTGTTTTTGCCCAGTTTGTTTTTCTACTTCAAAATAAGATCTGTGCAGTGTGCATAGGAATTTGTTCATAGTTTTTTATATTAAACTATAGTCCGGCCCTCCAACGGGTCTGAGGGAGAGTGAACTGGCCCTCTCTTTAAAAAGTTTGAGGACCCCTGCTCTAGAGAGACTTGAATTCCTTCCTGAGGGGTTCCTCTTTCACCAAGACTAGGCATCTTGGGGAGCTGTGGGCACTGTGCCCACCCCTTCCAGCCTGGCAGTGCTGCGGGAGTCTGCTGTATTTTATCAGCTGGGTTGTATCTTACTCCGTGTACTCCCTCTCGCTTCACTTGACTCTGTGTGAATCCTGCCAGAGGACTGGTTTCACTTGACAGTGCATAAAAGGGTAAAGGGAGGAAATGTAAAAGAAACGGGGCTTCCTTTATAGCAAGGTGTATTATTTTGTGACCTGTGTGTATTTTAGTGAAATCTATTTATTTGTATAAATGTGCTTGGAAAGTAACTCATTAAATTGCACCATGGCATGTTTGAGAGGATCATGTTAGAAAGTCACTATATAGACTTTCTGTGTAGTGCACCCCAGCATTCTGCCCTGTGCTGCAGAACTCTCTGGGGTGCATCGCAGCTGTAGACAATACGAGGGACCTGCACGAAAAAGTGGAATGAAGGGGTCATGGGATTTTTGCACACTTTCTGAAGCCCCTTCAGAATAAGCAAAGGCGGACTTAAGTCAGTGGAGGTCCTAGGATTGTGAGTTTGCCTTTGAAAGTAGGAAGGAGTTGAAGAAGGGGGAAGTGGGGAGGGCGGGGAAAAATGAGGAGCTGATACCAAGGGCTCAAGTAGAAAGCAAATGTTTTGAGAATGATGAGGGCATCAAATGTACAAAAGTGCTTGACATGATGGATGGATGGATGGATGGATTGTGATAAGAGTTGTACAAGCCTCCGATAAAAGGATTAAAAAATAAAAGAAAGTAGGAAGGAGCATCCCCCGATGGGGTGAAAAGACCAAGTTGGAAACTAAAGATACAGGGATATTCTAGTTGTTTGTTGTTGTCCAACAAGGTGCCTACATTTTAGGAAATACTTAGTATATGCTTCTACAACCAAGTCTCTGTTACTGGGTAACTAGTGAGGGGCCTGAGTGATAAGTTCAGTTCTGGTTAAATCCACTTTGGTGTCTTTGGAGCATCTCATATTCGGACCTCTCTAGCCCCGCCTCCCAAGTGTGTCATGTCGCCGTTAGAGGGGAAAGTGCGTGAACGGTGGGGAATATGAAACACAGCGTATGCCCCGGGCCTGGCTTGGCCGTAGTGGCCCTCTTCCTGTAGGATGCTCAGCGGGGCCCTGCTCCTTTTGCATCTTTCCTCTGGAAGAAAAGGGCAGGGGCGTGTTGGGAACTCGGGGGTATTTCCATGCCGTTCTGTATTTTAAGGTCTCACATATATACACAAGGGGACTTTGAAAAGTGTGTGGAAAATTCCATTCACTTTGCATTCCATCTGCCCATGAGCCTTTTGAAGCTCTCAGAGATGGCCAGTGGAGCCTCCTGGTAAAGTGCAGCCCCCTGACCAGAGAGGCTGCAGTTGTGTCTTTAGCAGAAAGATGGAGATCTCCCCTCTCATTGCTGGAAGGGGTGGTGCACCACGAGACAACGGTGCAGTGTGTTATGCATCTGTAAGCAATTGTGCTCACACACAAAACTAAAGTCGCGCAGAGTAAATTACTCGATTGGCCTGGAAGTGAGACGGCCAGGAAGAGGACCAGTGGTGCCAGGAATTCTGTGTTTGGCTTTGTTACAGATGTGATGGCCTAAGTTTGTTTATTATCAGAAACAACACCGAACCCATGCCCGTTATGGATAAACCAGGAAGCGCAGGAGAGCATTGAGCAAGGAGTCACCGAGCAGCTTTTCCTCCGAGGAAAGGCACCACAGCTCCGGTCTGTGGCTTCCTCACCTTTCCCAGGCTTCCCTCTGTTTCTTACACAGGAACGCGGGCTCCTGCTGCATCGAGAACGTCCTGAGGGTTCCAGTCAGGGAAGGGAGAACAGGTTACATTTTGAAGAAGATAATAGGAAAAGCGACAGAAAAACTGACACAGGATTTGAAAAGCATAGTTGTAAAATCCTTGTTTTCTACACTGCCAATACTCGCGAATACAATAAAGCTGTTCCTTGATAGTATTTGTTCCTCTTCATCAGATCAGTTGAAATTCCCCTCCCCCACCTCACCCCACGCCCAGTTTTGTTCAGTCTGGTGGCTTCGTGTTTACACAGTGGACTGACTGCTCACTCAGCAGTTCGAAACTACAGGAGAAAGGCAGGACTTTCTACTCCCATAAAGAGTTACAGTCTCAGAGACTCCCTGTCCAGTAGGCTTGCTTGGAGTCCGCATTGACTGACAGTGGGTTTGGTCTGGTCTGGTTTTTCATTTCTTAAGAGCAGAAGGTGGGGGTGGCGGGGTAAGCGGCGTCTGTTGGATTCTCTGAGACATGTCAAGTCTCTCTCTGATTGTTCTCAGCTGTCATCGAGTAACTTTAGACTCCTGGCCACCCCACGTGTACTGAGTGGAACTCTGTGTCCTTATAGTTTTGCCAGGCCTTGGTTCTGAGGTGTTTCTGGGGAGGTTCAAACCCCCAAACGTTAGCGTAGGAGTCCAGTGTAACCGTTAGTACCATCCAGAGGCATCGCCCTGTTCGGAGAAGGCTCTCAAGACAGTTTTGTAACCTGCTGAGCAGCTCCACCAGATGCTGGTACACCTTTTTGTTTGGCTTTCTTTCTAGAATCAGAGCTGTGATTTGAGGTGGTGTTGAGGTGCCTGTACTGAGCTGGTCCACACCTTTTCCTGGCCATCAGTAAAGAAAGGGCGCATTCCCTGTGAGCGGGTAAATTCCCTTCATGAAATCCGGGTGATTCCACAAGGGCTCGGATCTGCCAGCTCCTTGGTCTCACTGCTCCCGTGGGACCGTGTCTAAGGTTAGGTGCTCCCGCCCTTGTCTCGTCGTCTGACACGGCTGTCTACTGCTTGAAGGCGTCAGCTCCTCGCCCTGCCTTGCGGGGTCCGTGCAAACCTTGTGTAATGAACTAAGACCTGAACAAAGTCCAACCGGTTTTTGAGCAGCGTGTTCCCGGTATTGCTTTTAAGGAATTCCGGGGATCAGCTGGTGTACCTGGGAAAGGGGGTTCTAGCCAGGACCCTTGAGGTCACCTGGTCAGTCCGGTTTCAGGTTCAGCATTAGTTGGTAGTTCTTCAAGCTTTACATCCAATTATCACTGTTGGAAGGTATCAAACTGTAGACTCAGAATATTGAAATCACTAAAAAATTGTAGGACCATGCAATTTACAACCAAGGAGACAGGCCTGAAGGGCCCCAGAGGCCTGCCAGTGTCTCAGCGGCCTGGCCAGAGAAATGCAGGCTTCCTGAGGCCGGACCAGCGTTCCTGCTCAGCAGCACTCGGCTCGCCTCCCATCCCTTTGAGGACATAATAATACATGCTAATAACGGCATTTGTTCTCTAGAGTCACATTGATTTACATTACTGCGATTGATTCAGTATATGGATAAATAACAATTGATTATATTACTAAGCGTCACTGTAATGTTTAGCTGCTCTTTTCTTGTGGGAAGGGGTTAGCCGTTGTCAGATACCAAAGCCAGTGCCCATCATTGACAATACCTGCAGCTGGAAGGTCCTTCAAGGCCAGAGACCGGTCTTAGAGCATAGGTTCCGTGCGCTGCTGCGGGCAGTGGGCAGTTTCCAGCAGGTGTTGATTTATCCACCTGTCTTCAGCTGCGGGCCCCCTGGTCCTTCAGGTCTCAGCTGCTGCTGCTGCTGCTGCTCTTGTTCTTGTTCTTGTCTTTCTCTTTGTTTTGCAGCTGGGTCCGGCTCTTCTGCAGCCCCTTCTCTCCACCTAGACTTCTGCTCAAGCACCTTCTCTTCTACCCTGTGCAGATCTGGTTCTTTTCTTTCACTCCCGGTTCTATGCTTGGCACAGGGTTATTGAACTCTGCAGAGCATCTTGACACAGAACTTGCACCAAGGGGCCATGCCACAGACCTCACTAATCACAAAGTGGCGTTGCGTCCCTAGGCACGGAAAGCAGGGGGTAAGGAGCCATTGCCATTTATCCTATGACTATGTGGAGTGCCCCGTAAATGCCAGGTATTGTTATAGGTCCTGAGGTTACCAGCCTGAATAAAGCATGCTACGTTCTTTTAGTTCCACGGTGGGAGGGAGATAGGTATTAAACAAACCGAACTACCAGAGAGGTAAGCTGTCAGGTGGGGAGAAGTACTGAGAACAATGAAGCAGGGAAAGGGGGAGGGTGGAGGAAGGGCTGTTTGGGGTGGGTTATCTTGGTTCGGTTGACACTCATTACCACAAGAGACTTGGAAGAGTGGCCTGGGAGCCATGTGGCTCTCTTGGGGAGGGGACTACTGGCCAGGAAATACAAGTGCCAAGGGTCTCGAGTCAGCAGCATGGCTGGTGTTTTGAAGGCGGCCCCACATGGAAACTGCTGTGGGGAAGTGGCCTGTTCTGTGTCGCACTGAACAGGTTCACGGGCTGCCTGTGGAGAAGACTGGAGGGGCCGGGGCCAGGCAGTCATGGTGAGCAGTCAGCAGGCCACTGCTCCAGGGCAGAAAGGTGGCTGCTAAGAAAAGGTCAGCATCTAGATAACATCCAAGGAAAGAGGGAAACCCAGGAGGGTTCAGGTGGGTGGCCTGAGCTGTTGCAAGGTTGGGCTTGCTGTTTCCGGAGGGGAGAAGGCTGTGCGAAGCACCGTTCAGGGCCCAGGTCATGTGGGAATAAGCCTGGGGGCTCCCAGCAGTGTACCGATGTGCCTTCTGACAAGGGGGTGATTCCTCATCCCTTCCTCACACCCAGGGATAAATGCCCCACCTCTCTCACCACCTCTGTCTCCTCTTCTCTCGAGCACCCATTTCTCTGCTCAAACCAGCTTTATCAGAGTTGTCAGTGACCTCCAAGGTACCAGTCAGCTCACAGCCACCTCACCCACCATCTGTCACCAGCCCTAGCAGAATCAGCCCGCCCACTCGGAGAGCTATTTTCCCTTGGCCTTCCACTGTGTCCTCTCTTGGGCTTCCCCATCTCAACTGAGGGTGCCTTCCAGGAATGGGAGCCCGCCTTCCCCTCGCCAGAAAAGCAAACTTCAAGATTTCCGCCAGTAAGGAAGGCAGCATTCCCATTTTTATCCGATGAGTACTTAGGAAGACTGTGTTCTTGTAAATAGTCCCAGTCGTTGCCCTTGCCTTGACTCTGAGGGTCCCTAAGAAAGCTCCTCTCTGAGCTCTTTTTGTCACTGATGAAATGGAGCTAGTTGCCTTGTAGGTCAGCCCTCATTTATTTGCTCTGACGTGAGAACAGAGCCAGACCAGGACTGCAGGGAGCAGGGCCACGTCAGCAGCAACTGCCCATGTCACTCACCCGATTCGACAGCGTGAGACAGAGCATGGAAAGGGGGCTCTGCTTTGGGCAGTAGGAAGGGACTGCCAAAAGATGTTCGGGGGCAGAAACACAGAGCATGGTTTCTCGTTTCAACACCCTTGATCAGGCCCCAGGCAAGTGTGTTAGTCTGGGTACATTAGAGAAGCAAATCCACAGAAACTCATGTACATGAGAGAGTTTTATCTAAAGGGTAAATGTACATTAAAAAAGCATCCCAACCCAGTGCTGTCTAAGCCCATAAGTCCAACATTAGCCCATATGTCTGACACCGATCTGCAAAGTCCTCCTCAATCTCACAAAACACACACGGTGACACCAACTGCAGGAGGAAAGCCGAATCACTGAGCATGTACGCATCTCAGCTGGGCTTCTCCAGCGCCCAGGACTACATCGGGGTAGGTCCGTGTGGATGTCTTGTAGGAAGTGAGCCTTGCCAGGTGAAGCAGGGAACTGGCTAAGGCAGCTGCACCCTGGTCTGACCACCAGAAAGCAAGAGACCCGAGTACTAGAAAGGCAAGGTTTCCCGAGCCATTTATCTCTCTGTCCTTCAAATAATCCCACATGTGTTTATCAGCCAGGTTGGCACAATAAACCTTAACTATCTCAGCAAGGTTACGCAGCCACATCTGTCTCAAAAGATGTTGTTTTCTTTAGCTTTGGTGAATACCCTCCTGTTGTCCAAAAGGAAACATATTTCTCTTGACCTTAGCCAAGGGGACTTACAGCATCCTCTCTTCTCTCATTTAATTTTCCTGTGTATTATTTCGTTATTTATTGATTTTTTTTCCTAAATGATATTTTCCATCTTCCCAGAAAGAAGATTGGCCCATGCACAAGTTGGAATGTTCTCCCATGGTTGTTTTTGGGGAAAACTGGAATCCCTCCGAGGCTGTTAGGCTAACAGCAAGGATTCTGGCCAAACAGGTGAAGAAATGGGCTAGTGTCCATGTGAATTTTCTGTTTTTTCCCCTTGAAGGTTAGAAGAGGAATAACTGGCCCACGGTGACCATATCTTGTCCAGTGTTCTCTTGACTTGCTTCCTGTGACATCCAGGTGGACGGAGGGGAACAAGATGGATGGGTGTCTGCCTTACAGTGCAGTTAGGGTATCCCCTAGGGCGGACCAGGAACATAGCCACCATGGCAGTGACATTCTGAGCTTTGGGGGTGGAGGGAAGACCTTAGTCTTTCAAGGTGTGAGATCTTAGTCTTTCAAGGTGTGAAAGACCAGACTCAATAGAGCTTCCCTAGGGAAAAGACTAAGCTGAGAGCTGGTGCATAGCATTCTCCATCTTTCTGTGGCAACGACTGTATCTGCCCCCCTGCAGACATTCTGCGCACCCCCCTTCTGTGTCTTTGTGTAAGCAGGAGAGGAATCGAGGTAACACCCAGCTGACAAGCAAAGGAGCAGAGAAAGAGTGGAAAGATAGAAATAGAGCCAGGGGGCGGGGAATTGGGTTCACAACAGTGACAACAGAAACTGGAAGGAAAGCAAGGAGGTGCCCTTGACGGGGCAGACAATAGCCATCCACCATTGTGTGCGTAACCGTGCTGGGCCTGAACAGTGGGAGCCAGTTGCTCTGTGACCAACTGTGACCACCACTCGTCCTGGTTGGTTGGTTTGGGGGACTCCTCCTTGCACAATAATGACACTCTGGAAGGACCAGGCTCCAAAGAGTAGGAAACTGCCCCGGGACTCGCCCAGGGCTGAGAATGGAATGGCTGCTGGAAGGTCAGCAGTCTGGACTCCGGGGAGGCTCTTGCTGACACCAGGTGGGTGGCAGGGGCTCTACTGCAAATCTTTTAAAGTTGCCATTTCTTCCACCTCTCCCATTCACCTCCTGCTCCCTGCACCGTTAGACTTTCTCTCTCCTTCTGTGACCATATCAGTGAGCCCGTCTGCGTGGATGCTGGGCTGTGTCAACAGGAGGAGAACATTGCAGGCCCCTGAGGTCAGCATTCCCTGGTGTCAGCTCCAGTCAGGTGCTCTCTGAAATGCCACTGCTGCGGCTCAGAGTAACCAAAGCTCTTCATGGGCTGCCTGGAGGGTGAGCCTGCGAAAAGGCAGCGTTGTTCTGCCCAAAGGAGGAGCAGCTAAGGTGGAGGTCCTTGATAACAGTTATGAAAATATAAGTAGAGCATTTTGTAGAATGAAAGGGTCTGGGACACGGTGTCCCTGGGCCACTATCGGATGTGCTGTCGGGATAAATGAGCCACGATAGTAGATGTGTCAACGGTGTTGGGGCAGGATTGGGTGGCCGATCTTCAGCTGTTATTGATAGTGCTGTGGTCAGGACCCTAGAGGAACTGACGTACTTTCCTGAATGGAAATCTTTCCCAGACAAGATGACTTATTAATCTTCCGGAGAGGCTCCCTGTGAACAGAAGATCTCTGCTACACAAAAGAACCCCAGAAAGGTGTTGGCACTCGTAGGGGAGTCCAAATGTGGTGATAAGTTTACACACGTTTCATTCAACTTGTGGGATAATTGCTTCTCTGACTAATCGTCCATTTAAATGACAAGGTACCTGGCCATCGTTTCATCTCCACGGGTCTCGAGTGATTAAAAAAAAAAACAGGCCATTTGTATTCTGGTGGCTTGCAAAGGCTTAGGGGAGACAGGCTACCAAACCACCAAGGGAAGCTTAACATGTTAACTAGGGAGGTGAGTGCGCCCTGTGAGACCACCTGTATCCCCAAATTGAATAGCCAGATTACAAAGACATGGCCTCGGGCCAGCTCTTGAGCTCCTGCCTTTGAACTCTTGTCAACACCAAGTTTATTCATGTCCTCAAAGCCTAGTGGGTTGACTATTGTCGGCTCCTCTTGGGGTGTCTAGAACAAAGACCGCCACACGTTTAAAGTGAATCTGGGCTCCTAGATACAACCAAAAGAGTTCTTTTTGAAACAGAATTTGAGATCATTTTTCGTCTCTGCTTAAAGAAAAGTGTGAAATGGATGTGGGGGGGTGGGGGGGTGGTTTTTATTCCTTTTCAGAAGGAGAAATAATAAATAGGATGGTGGGTCCACAGACTTAGGCCTTTTAAGTCAGGGCCCCTTGGAAAGTGGTCTCCCCGCCTTCATTCGTTCCCATAACAAGCATTTCTGAGCCTACTGTGTGCATAGTGTTATCTGGGTGCTAGGAGCCCTGCAGAGAACAGGCTTGGGATCGGAGTTGGGGGGCGCTGGGGGTGAGACACCGTGTGAGTGAGTGTATTGAATGTGGACGTCAGGCAAACACAGCCGCAGACCAAGTTGCGATGCCTTTGGTAAGGTTCTTCATTGAGTAAGGTCACTACGTCAATTCTCTCCCCCCCGCCCCTCCCCCCACGTGGCTTTAAAAGTAAAAGCTGGACTTTTTGCACTCATGGGTCAAATCTGTCTCTGATTTCTTCTCCGATGCCTAGAAAATCCAGCCCGAGAGGACGCCGTCCGAGAAGATGCTAGCCGTGAAGGAGTTCGAGTCCCGTGAGTCCTGCCCTCGCTGGGGAGCGGGCATGTCCATAGGGGGACTGGGATGAGGGGCTTGGAGAACAGGAGAGCCTGTGCCTCCGGCAGCGCTGCTATTGTTAATGATTGGTTTTCCCTTTGGCTTACACGCCCTTTTGAAAAATGAGTTTGTTTGACGCCTTTTCCTGGTTTGTCAGGATGACTAGGAAGTAATCAAGGGGTGGTAGCAACTCAAGGTGGAATACTGCATCCCGGGCCGTCTCCCACTGGCTGCTCCGGCTGACTGCATATTTTGGGATCTGTGCCACGCTGCAGTGCTGTAAACAGCTGAGGCCCTTATTGGAAAGCACTAGAGCAGAGGCTGCCCACTTGCTTGACTACGACATAGATCCCAGGGCCACCCTGGGGCCCTAGACCAGGCTTAGGCTGGCTGTCAGTCACTGGTGCTCCTTCTTGACCACTGCTGCTGGACAACGGAGTTTTGTGGCCGGGGTGACTTCTGGCTGCTGGAGGGAGGGGAGAATGGGTTCCTTGCAGCCGGGTCTGCCCTAGCCCAGTGCTTTTGGGGCGCTGTCCTCTTGGGCAGTTACCGGAGAAAGAGAAACCGAGGGTTTCGCCCTGATGCATGACCGACGGGCTTGTCTGTGCACAGATCTGGATAAGCTGGACAATGAGAAGAGGGACTTGATCCAGAGCGACATTGCCGCTCTCCACCACTTTTACTCCAAGCACCTGGAGTTTCCGGCCACAGAGAGCCTCGTGGTGCTTTTTGCACAGGTAAGGATGCCAGCCTGAGGCCACACTTCCTTGAGGCTTTCCCTCTCTGAGCCCCAGCTGGCCCCGCTGAGTGAAGAGGAATGGAAATAGGAAGGCATCCGCTTGATGGCAGGCTCTTGACTCACTTGGCCCTGCTTGTCACTGACATGCTGGGTGATCTTCGGCAGAGCCACTTCTTCCCGGGCCGGTTCTCCCGGACGAGCTGAGCACTGACAGTTCGCTTCTGGCTCAGAAAGTTTATGGAGACAAACGAGTGGTCACAGGGTTACCCAGAGAAGGCAGAAATGCTCTGATGGTTGAGGGGAGGGGGAGAGGGAAAATCACAAAGCTGGATTATAGACACATGTTAGTTTAGGAGATGGGAAGCGGGTGACTACCACAGTATCTATCACTACAGAAAAGAGTGATTTCGAGTTACAGACCCCACAACACACATAAACCCAGCACCGTGGGAAAGCACAGGCATGCACACATGGGTGTGTGCGCAGACAGGCAAGATGCCCAAGTGGGAAGAGGTAAGAAGTTTCAAAACCGTACCAGGGTTTGGCAGGTGATACTTATACGAACTTAGTTTTGTGCTGTAGACCTATCCGTGTAAATACTAGAGCAAAATGGGGCAAAGCTTTGTTAACGTCTTAGCAAGAACCAAGCACTGGGAGGAACAAGTCCAGGTTTGGGTTGCTGGAGACTAGTCACAGGGGCCCTCCAAGCCAGTTGACATAATATAGTTCACGGTATACTGCCCCACTCTCCATTGATGAGCAGGATTGGGATGTTCACAGCTTGCCAGCAGACGTCTCAGGTGCGAGAGATACTGTTAGTCTCTCTCCACCTGGAGCAGAGAATAGTGAAGAAAATTAGTCCACGTGAAGCGTGGTCTCCACCAACCTGAAACCAGAAGAACTAGATGGTGCCTGGCTCCCACTGCCGACTGCTTTTAGGATGAGCGCATGAGAGGGTGCTGGGCAGTGGGAGGAAAATGAGGAATGAAACTCGGTATACGAGACTAGTGGAAGTCCCCAAGACGGTGACCCTGGATCACCGTTTACGTCTGGAAAAGAGCTCGCCCTGATTGCTTAAGTTTCAGCCCAGCCATAAAGCATGTGGTGAACAGTAGCTCTGGTGAGGTAAGCACCCCCCCCTCCCCCAACCAAGGCAAACCAACCCCCCAACCAACCATGTGAGATAAGAGGGCAGCGTTTGCCCAAGGACACAGCTCAGAAGTCAGGGAGGGGACTTGGAACAGCAGCAAGGAGTGGGTTCAGTGAGTGGTACCACTCCACGGGGACCATGATTGACAAGATGAGAAAACGCTTATTTATTGTTGAATGGAAAATTGACCTGCCCTGTAAACCTTCACCCACTTACAATAAAAATGCTAAACAGAACACAAGGAAGTGGCATGTGTAGCGCAGGACTCTTTCCTGTTTCTTAACTAAAGCATTGTCATCGAGTCGCTTCTGACCGAGGGGCATGCCAGTGCTCCAGTGCGGGACTGTCCCCGGAGGTGTGCATGGCGATCCCACAGGCTGCAGTGCGAGTGCCAGCCCCCAGCCCCCAGACCAGTGGTTCTCCACTTCCTCAGGCCACGTCCCGTTCATACAGTTCCTCATGTGGTGGTGACCCCCAACCATAAAATTATTTTCATTACTACTTCATCACTGTCGTTTTGCTACTGTTATGAATCGGGTCACCCCTGTGAAAGGGTCGTTTGACCCCCAAAAGGGTCACGACCCACAGGTTGAGAACCGCTACTCTAGACTAATAGCCGTTTGCAAACCATTTGTGCCACCCGGGGTCCCCAAAGAAAACACTGCTGGCAAGTCAACCCTCTGAAGGGACCCAGGAGCTCTGGAAGCACTGCGGCTCGGGTGTCAGGCGGCTTGCTAACCACAAGGCCAAGGTTCAGATCGGCCCCTCTGCTCCCCAGGGGAGAGATGTGGCTGTCTAAAGATTTCCTCTTGGAAACCCTAGGGAGCAGCTCTGCTCTGCTCTGTGCCACGAGGTCTTCAACTTGACAGAATTGGGTTTGTTTTCTTCACGTAATATGCATTGTTGATCCCTTGACACTGAACTCGGGCCAACAACACCACAGCAAAATCGCCAGACTGAAGCATGTCTAACACACGTGCTCTCCGCAAGACACAGCACAACTTTCCTAAACATAGGAACTCTAGGCAGGGCTTCAGCGCTACATTTGGTGATCGACTCAAGTAGTGTGATGATGTGTGACACTTGGTAGATAGACTCTGAGAAGGATGCTGGTTTACCGTGAGCGCTGAAGCAAGGCAGAATGTTGTCTGGTTCACCCTCAGCTGGGGACATGCATGTTGAGTGACTCAAAGATGTCACTGCTCTGTGGCTTTTGCGAGTGGCCACAAAAGTGCCGTGCGGGTGGATTTTGGAGTGACAAGCAAGTAGGTGATTTTCCCAACGAGCCCTGGTTAAACTGGTGCCGCTGTTTGAGCACTTGGATACTGACCTAAAGTTGGGTGGTTTTGAACTGATGCAGCAGCAGTGGGAGAAAGACCTGGTAAACCACTCACCTGAAGATGGCAGGCAGGCACAGCCAGAGGGTCAGTTCTGCTCCTTGCCACTTGAGGGCTTGAGAGTCCGGATCCACGTGATGGCACCCAGTAACAACAGCAGCCATCGTTGAATTCACAGCCACGGTACCAGTGAACTAGGAACATCAGCCGTCCTTGCTTTGTAGATTTGATAGTTTCATGTGTCAAGTTATCGTATCCATACTGGCAGAGAGAGAGAGAGAGAGAGAGAGAGAGAGAGAGTGTGTGTGTGTGTGTGTGTGTGTGTGTGTGTACATTTAGGCATCCACACATACCTTTTTTCTTACGGAAACTGCTAAGGAGCCCTTGCCTATCCTTAGGACACCGGGAACAAACCAGATCTCCGCGCCCTTTCTGACGCTCCTTTTGGCACCTGGCTGCCTCTCTGCTGCTCCAGCCGCAGCCCTGTCCCCCTGAGTCATGGGCGGGTGTTGTGGGTTCACTGTGGCCCCGCAGCAGCTGGCAGCACAAGGTGACTGCCCTCCTCCTCCGACAGCATCGAGGTGCGTTGTAATCACCAGGAACATGTGCGTGCCCGGGGAGTGTATTTTTGGTGTGCAGCCTCCATCTAGTCTAAATGCTAATTATGAGAATAGCTTTAGCAAGGCACTTACGCCTGATTGGACTTGAAAAAAAGGACTGTGGCCCATGCATCTCTCTTAATATGCAAGTTCACTTTTTTTCTCCTCCAGGGATATCTCAAAGGAAAGGGAAGCTGGCAAGCAAATTGCTATGCAATTTGGCTTAAACACCATCCCGCCTCCCGAAAAGGAACAGTAATGACACTTGCTCTTATAGAAGTCTTTGCTTATGAACACACACACACACACACACACACACACACACACACACACACACGCGTGCGCACATGCGTGCGCACTCTTCCAGAGTAAGAAGAGGAAGGAAAGGCAGGAAATGGATTGATATTCATAGAGCCTTCAAAAATGAATGTAGGGTCAGAGAACTGACCCAGGGGGATTGACATCAGGGAAGGAGACCAGGAAACACAAGAGCGTCCCTATCCCCCTACCCGCTTCCCCCAGAGGTGGTCAGTGGCTGACTATACCTAGGTCAGTTTTGAAAATTGTTGTCAATTTCTTGTTTTCTCCATTCTGCAAATATTTCTGGTCATGCGAGGGGTGCCAGACACTCCGGAAGCATCCCAGTACTCATCGAGACCGTAGCCATTATTCTGGACCCGTAACGAGAAGCCAGTCCCCGGAGAAGGTCTTCCTACTTGGTAACGTGGAGGGCTAGTGAGAAAAAGAAGATCACGGTGAAAGGGTCCGACACAGGCCTGCAGCCTTGGCCTCAACCATGGCAGTTGTGAGGATGGTGCAGGACCGAGGGGTGGCCCGTTCTCGTGCATGGAGGGTTGCTTTCCGCTGGCACAGATTTGACGGCACCCAGCCCACAGTAAGGCATAGTTGGCACTCCAGTAAACGCTATTTAATTTACTCTCACCTAGTGTTGGTTGTTGGACATTGGCTAATAATCAAAGACCACTCTGCTTTCCAGTCACTTCTCACTCATAGTGACCCTGTAGGACAGTAGAACCGCCCCTGAGGATTTCCAAGACTGCAACTCTTGACAGGAGTTGTAAGCCTCATCTTTCTCCTTTGGAGTGGCCCGTGCTTTCAAACTACTGACCTTGCAGGTAGCGGCTTCAAGCACAACCAACTGCACCATTGGGGCTCCTCCGCTGATTAATACTCTGAACACAGAATAGGTCAGCTTACTTGGAGTTGGCAAAAGGCTAATTAACATGATACATCATCTACTTCAGGATTTCAAAGGCTGAGAATTGTTTTACTACAAACCTGCGATAGCCCTTCCCTTCTCCTCGTTTCATATTGAATTGTAAGTACTGCAGGTCAGATCCACCATAGCCCTTTTTTTTTTTTTTTATGTGGTGAGGTCTTCCAGCGTAGCCATTGGCCAGTTAGTTCTAAGTGATATTGAGCCACATGAACGCTGAGTCAACCTGACCAGTCTTAGAAGAAACATGGAATGGTGTGACAGGAGCAAGCCTGGCTGTCAGGATGTCCAGTTTGAATTCTGACCCTTGTTCTGCCCTGTTAACATGGCCTTGAACAAACCACTTGGTCATCCAACCTTCCTAAGCCTCAGCTTCCACAGCTGCAAAGTAAGTGTGCAAACCCTCTCCCAGTATCCAGCCTGAAGTGCATGCTTAGCGAATGCTGCTTTAGCACGCCCATCTGTTGACCTGAAACAGACAGCGAGTTGTCTCCTGGTGTGACATGCGGCTCCAGGCTAGCATGCATGGCTCCTAGTCAGTCTTCTCTGCAGTCTCTGGCTTTGTGGCCTGTGCAAGTCACTGTTCCTCCCTGGACCCCACTGGCAACATCTGAGATGTTGAAGAGGGAAGAGCTCCTGCCCAGTTCTCAGGTGCCCGATAACATGTGGAGAGCACCTCTTGGTGCCTCCCAGGAGGCAGGTGTCCCCTGCGGGCACCGGTTATAGCCAGTTCATCTTTCTGTCCACGCTGCCTGGCATGAGAGGGCTCACCAAGACTCACCCTGAGTGTCTATGGAAGGATTGCATGTCCAGAGTGATGTAGAATTTTGGGATGTCCAAGTTTGTACCTTCAGTCTCAGCCAAGCTGGGTGTTCACAGTGGGGGAGTTAGAGCCCGTGGTGTACTGTGACACTTTCTTTCAAAGGATGGGCAAGTGGCAGGAGGCTGGTTTGACTGAGACTCAAACCACAGGGCCAAGGTTTCCTTACTTCAAGCCCTTGGTCACTCTGTCTCTGTGAGGTCAGGGGGGCGGGCAGTCACTAGATAGATTGATGAGGGCTCTCTTGTGTACCCCCTTACCCTGTAAGACAGGCACTGGGTCAAGTGACTCCTTTTTCGCTCAAGGGGAGAAAACTAAGGACCAAGGGATTCAGTAACAATCTCAGGATCTCAAAATCTGTGGCATCATGGGAACTAGATGTCAAGTATCCTGACTCTCACGCCTACCAGCAGGCTTCAGTCCATGAAGCCCTGGGGGTCTAGGTAGCATTCCTGGACTGCTGTAGGTAGGATAGACTAAGAGTCCCAACCGCATCCACTGCCTTGAGTGGAATCTGACCCTTCACTACCTTATATAATAGCATTGTTTCTCAAATTGAGTGATTACCGCCCCCTGAGGTGCTGCAATGATTCAAGTTGACTGCAAAAACAGATAGCCACGCTTTACCCTGGACTAAGGGCTACAGTACAAAGGTTTGTAACTGCCTGGGGGACACTGGGTTTTCTGAACAGGGAGCCCGTGCTGTCCAGAGCTGTCCAGGGTGTTGTGATCTGTGCATGAGCACACGGCCTCATCGTTCTCTCATAGAACGGCTGGTGGGTTTAAACCACCAACCTCGCAGGGGAACGACCCAATGCTTAATCCACAGTGTCACTTCCAGCCTTGATTGCGTGTGTTTATTTGTTCACACCTGGGCCAGAGGGCCAGATTGTTTGTACAAAGTTATGCCTTGGCCAAAAAAGAAAGAGTGTAAATCACTAAACCAGTACATCTTCCTGGATTTTTTGTTAAAGGTGCAAGTCAGTGAAATGATTCCATCCCAGAGAGGAGCTTCACTCACTTTTCTCTTCCTGTCTCTCCCTCCCCCTCCCCCTGCAGGTTAACTGCAATGGCTTCACAATTGAAGATGATGAACTTTCTCATTTGGGATCAGCAATATTTCCCGAGTAGGCTGAGTTTGACTTCGTTCCTCTTCTTTTTCACTAATTTAACACTAATTTGATTTTTAAAATATATTTAAATAACCCACCTAACTGCGTGTGCCAGGCATGACACTCCAAGTGAATTAAGACACCTATTTTAATTCTGCCAGATTTCAAAATATTTCCCCTACACTTAAGGATCTGAAGGTAGTAGTTAAGAGAACAGTTGCTTGTTAAGCCCCGCCAGGCAGCGAGCTGTTATTAGAGAACGTTTTACAGTGCGCGTAGAAGAAACAGCCTGTGTCCTGCTGAGAAATTTGCTTTCTGCATATCTGTGATTCTGGAAGTCTTTGGGTTTCTTTATACTCAAAGGGAAGCATTAATTGCCAACCAAGAGTTGGCCACAGGCTGGTGTAAAGCATCCATGAGCTGCGTCTCCATCTCTCCCTTTTGAAAAACACCAGCGCAATTTGGAGGAGGGGAATGGACTTGGAGTGAATTTTCAAAGCGCCGTAGGCCTTCCTCTCTCTGCTCCAGGAGGACTCAACGCCGTTCCCGAACAGCTAGGCACTTGGCACATGGGGATCTCAGCGGCTCTGGCGGGAGTGGATCGAAAAGCAGGTCTGGCCATGTGCCGTGTGCCTGCTGCAGAGTCCACTACTGTCAGAGCTGTCCTGCGCTCTGTCTTTGAAGTGAGGGCTTCATTCCAGGGGCCTCGGGGGTTCTACAGTGCTCCTCCGGCCCTCCAGACGCAAACCCTCACTTCATCAGTAGAGCGCTGAAGCCCTTCCCTGCCAAGCCCCCATGTGAGTGCTTGCACGGCACGTGGGCACTGGTTCCACCTGCACACTGCTGCGTCCCGGTGCTGCAGGGGCCGCCGTAGGTGGGAGTGGATGTAGGTACTGCCTCACTCCTGGGCTGTGTGTGGGGGAAGCCTTTGCTCCTGGTGTGGATGTTGGTTGCTGCCCAGCCTGAGAGACAAGTGTCCAGGGCCATGTGAACTGAGCAGCTACTTTGGAGAACAAAAAGACACTCCCTCACATCCTATTATTACCTTTGGGAGGCCCAAACGGTGTCTGCCGTTTGAGTTCTGATGGAAAGGAAAATGGTGTTTTGGGTAGGGCAACTCTTTGAGACTTTTGCCTCTGGGACAAAAGGAAAGTGCAAAAGATTGTGGCAGACACGCCCCCTCCCCTTCCTCGTAGAAAGCCCTCAGGGCCACCCTGGGGCCTGTGACAGACATAGGGGAGAGCTCTGCTCGTGGCGGTGATTGTCAGGGTTTGCTAGCGCAGGCAGAACAACACTGGGCCAGAAGTCGGTGACAGCAGAGAGTACGTGGATTCTCTCGCTCAGTCTGGAAGCTGTGAATCCAAATCCAGGGCTTGTCAGGAGATCCTTCCATGCTGCCTGAGCCTTGCGTGTCATTTCTCTGTCCTGCCTTTACCCAGTCCACCCAGTCATGACTTAACTTACCGGTGGCAGGCCTTCAACCCGTTTGGCGGGGTTACAGTTCACTTCATGGCAGTGTCTTCCGGATACAGGTTGGTTTCTGCCTTTGGCCTCACTGCATTTCCTGATTTCCTTAGAGAGACGCCCAGAAGTGTCTCACAATGATGCACTTCCGGATGATTCCTCCATGCCATGGTCCAGGCATCTGCTATCCATCAGACTGCCCTCTCAGTACCCGATTTACGGGGCTTCCCTCACCCGGTTCTCTCTGCGACACGTGCCAGGCAGCTGGGTGCGCCGCAGTGCAGGTCCCCAAGGACGGAGGCAGTGAAGTTGCTCCTAGTCTGTCCAGACCCAGAGCTGGAGGCAGGCCGCTCTGCCCTCCCGCAATTGTCCACAGAATCAGTGCCCCTTCAAATCCCGGCAGCTGGCTCTTGGCCAGGCTCAGCCACCCCTTTGCTGTTTTGCTTTCTAGCGACAAGCCGGTGAGGGCTTGGGCTGCTGAAGCATCAGGGTGGTGACATGGGCCACCACGCAGTGACATGCATGGATGTGCCAGCCACAGGAGCACAAACCCCCATTCCCAGCTGCTTTAATTGGGGGAAAAATCCCTCATGGCTGCAATCACATGGGCATTGTGATTTCAAAGACCACATTTTCAGAGATCAAGCACTTTTTTCCTGTAGTTTAGAAATTTTTGTTCTTGGAACTTTGACCTTGATATAATCAGACAGCTCAAAGCCCCTCGCGTAGGCGGATCTCTCTGTCCTCCTCGCCATCCCTGAAAAGCAAGCGGCGACAGCAGGGACAGTAATGTCCCAAATTCCAGATGAGGAAATTGAGGTGCTGGGAGGCCCCCGGTGGGCTTGGGAAGGGGAGCCCAGGCCACCCAGGGAGCCCATGGTGACGACTTGTCGGCATCTGAAGAAAGCACACGTGGGCAGAATGTCCCTCGTGGGATCGCTGCTGGGAAGCCAGCGTCGAGTGGAGGAGCAGTTAGCTGCCGGTGTGGGGTTTTCGACCAGCATCTAACAGGAAAGAACTTGCGTGAGGTTTCGTTGCTGGTGGTCTGTGCCGCAGACGCCACTGTTTTTAGTGGTGGGTTTCACTTTTCATTGTGGTCAAAAGTGATTGTTCGTGGCCCCCAAGGCAGCCTGGTCTTTCTTCTGAGGCTCCTCTGTGTGAGTCTTTCCCCTGGTAGTCCAGCCCTGACAAGCACCGGCCTTAAGTTAAAGGTTAAGATGTTAGGTGCATTCAGAATACGACAACCAGCGTTTGTTTTGAGGAGATAAGATTGCTCTGACTTAGCAAGCGAGCAGCCAAGCGGAGTGATGGTGTAAACAGTGTCCCTGCCTCGCTGAGAAAGGGTCTGTTCGCTTTCTTCTCTCTCCTGATTGACAGCGTGGCATTGATGAACCATAGCTGTTGCCCCAACGTGATTGTGACCTACAAGGGGACCCTGGCAGAGGTGAGAGCTGTGCAGGAAATCAGGCCAGGAGAGGAGGTGAGTGCGTGGCCTCAGGTGGCAATGGCAGGCCGCCTGTGTCACGTGGTCCCCAGTGCTCCAGGGGGCTGGTAACCACATGGGTGGCCTGTCCGGGGGCTGGGCTTCCCCGAGGCTGCACGCTTTAGGGCTTCCATCTGGTGCCTACCACCCCTTGTCCGGCCGAGAAGCACCCGGAAAGAGTAAATGCAGTTGAGCTAAATTTCCCAAGAACGGGTCTAGAGGTTTGCAAAGGAAGCAGTTTGCCAGAATGAAGTGTCCGATTCTCTCTGGTGTGTGTGACTCCCATCGCCAAACGAATGAGTTGAGTTTCGTTTGGCCGCCGCCTCCGCCAAGATCGGTCAAAGGCGACGATCCTCTTTAAAAGCGCGTGCAGGAGCCCAGGCGCTGCTGCTGAGGAGCCCCGGCCGACGCGCACTGTTTGGTGGCATGCCTGTTCCCCGTGCGGACAGAGCGCCTTTTCCACGGTTCAGAATTAGGCCATTGGGGGCCAGGGGGCGCTCTAGGTGCAGTGGTGCTGCCCCGGCGAGGAGAGCCCGTGTTCTGTCACCTGTCCTTGCGGTGACCACAGGGACTCCGTGACCCCCTTAGAAGACATGCCTCATCCCCAGAAGGCCTGCCCGGCACATGCTGTATGTATGCTGTGTGCACTGGTATCCCCAGCAAGCCACACGCATCCTCAGGGATGTGACCACGCATTGCAGCAAGAGCTTCCCTTTAGTAGTGGCGACACGATTCTGAGGTGCGTGTGTGGACGTGAGGCCGTATTAATATCGCCGCCCCTGTGCTCAGTGGTGATGCGGTGACCTCTGTGCCCACTGTGAACTGGGGCCAGACCTACGTCCATTTAGTGCAGGTTGAGTTTTGCACCCTTTGCCAAATTACTCATGAGGAGGCCTCCCCTGCCCCCCCATGCCGGGTCCGGGTGTCTGGGCGGCTGGATGTCTTGTAGAAACTGCCCCATGCTTACTTCTTTATCACACAGACCGCTTCATTCTGTTAGAACTTAAACCGCCAGATACCCCTGCCTTGAGGACTACCGGCAGAGGGAGGAGCAGTTGGTCACTTAGACTGGCTCCTGCAGGCCAGAGACACTGAAGTGGCCTCTGTCGCCATCTTCTGGGCCCTTCTGTTGTTGCACTGCATGCCCGTCAGTCACCGAGGAGGAGGAAATGTGGCAGGTCCTTGCCATGGGAGGCCCATTGGCTTCTGTTTCTGCCTGCCATCCTGCTCTCGCGCACACATCAGAAATGTGGTCACGGGACACCAGAACTTAAGACCGCCACTTGCCCTTGAGAGAGAAAGGAGTCCTTTGCCCAGGGTGTCGGAGTGAGCTGTGCGGGTGCTGGGAGTGAGGAGAGCTTGGCTGCCCCACAAGCTCACAGCCCCGTGGCTGCCCGTCCACCTAGTGCCTGGCAGTGCCCAGAGTGGCGGCTGTTTCAGTCCATCTGTTCAGTCAGACGTGCGCCGGATTGTGGGATGATCAGCAGGCGTGGGCGCAGGGAGCAGGTAACGGACAGTTAAGTGCTGGTTCCCTCCATCTGCTTTGTGCCCTAGTTATAGACCCGGGTAGAGAGCAGTGAAGAGGGGAGCCCAAAGGCAGGGCTTTTCCAAGTTCTGTGGCTCAGCTAGAGGGGCCAGGAGCTCGCCCTGGGGTAAGGGAACGGCCAGCTGGTGTTCTAGAAACTGTGCTTCCCTGGACGAGTTGACGCCGTCACCCCAGGCTGTGCAGAGCCTCCTGCTCCACCACCGGCTACTGTCAGGAAGAAGGGTTTGCTGCTTCCCGCTGCCGCAGAGCTCCCTCAGCAATGAGTAACCTTCCCAGGTTACGGAATGGAAAGATAGAGTAACAGCCCGGTGGCATGCTGTGGGTTAGGTGTCGGACTGCTAACTGCAAGATTGGTGGTTCAAACCCACCAGCAGCTCCATGGGAGAAAGATGAGGCTGGCAGCCGTTATACAGCTGCACAATCTCAGAAACCCTAAATAGTCAGCATTGACTTGACGGCAAGTTCAAACAACCAGTCTCACTGCCACTGAGTCAAAATTGCTCTTTAGCAAATCAAAGCTCTGACTCTTTGGCCCCCTCAGGTGTTCACCAGCTACATTGACCTCCTGTATCCAACAGAAGACAGGAACGACCGGTTAAGAGACTCCTACTTCTTCACCTGTGAGTGCCTGGAGTGCACCACCAAAGACAAGGTGAGTGCTGCCGCCCCAGCGCAGGCCCGCTCAGACCCCACCCCCACCGGCGCATGCTTTCTGCAGAGTTAGCTCCCCTGGTCTGCCACAGAGCGTGTCCCCCAAAGATGTGGCAGCCCCTTTAAGGCAGCACTGCTTGACAGCCAGGCGGAATCCAGTTAGACCAGGTGTCTGTGAAAACCTGCTCCTGGTAGCCGGGAGAACGTTTCCACTTCACCCTGTAAATCAGGGCAGGCCCGGTCGAAGAGCTGGTCTTGAAAGGAATGAATGCTCAGACAGGGAGGGGGAGAGAGATGTTCTAGGCCAGGGCTCCTCAAACTTTAAACAGGGGGCCAGTTCACTGTCCCTTAGACCCGTTGGCGGGCTGGACTATAGTTAAAAAAAAAACTAGGAATAAATTCTTATGCACACTGCACATTATCTTATTTTGAAGTAAAAAAGCACTGGCGGGCCCGATAAATGTCCTCGGCGGGCCGCAGTTTGAGGACGCCTGTTCTGGGCTTTCCAATAGGTTCACCAGAGTATGTGGAATTATTCCTTGGCTTTGTCTAAATTCTTATGATTGTCATTTCCTAGGAGTGTCTTCTCTCAATGGCTTGTAGCTGGGTGAACAGATGCCCCTGCTCAGGGCAAGCACCGTCTTAAGTATGCTTCTCAAATCAGGATGGTCTAGGAAGCCCTGGTGGTGTCATGGTTACACGTTGGGTTGCTAACTGCAAGGTCCGCATTTCAAACCCCATCAGCTGCTCCATGGAGAGACAACTGCCCACGGGCAGTTCGACCATGTGCTGTAGGATCACCGTGAGTGAGCCCTGATAGTGCAGTGATTATGCCCTCAGTTACTAGCCCAAAGGTGGACAGCTGGAATTGGCCCGCTGTGCTGCGGAAGAAAGACTTGGCACTCTGCCTCCCTAAAGATTGCCCACTGCTCTGGAGTCCATTCGACTCCTAGGGCCTGCAGGCTAAATGCTTCAGGAAGCTTCATCCTGCGGTCTTCCCCGCCCCCGCCAGTGACTGAGGGTTTAAACTGCGGACCTTACTTGGCACCTAGCCCAAGGAACCGCCAGGGCTCCTTTCCCTCGGCTGTGGCCTGGAAACCCCGTGGGGTTCTTCTCTTTAGCCCAGTCCTGCCAGTGTGCATAGACCCTGCGGCAGTGGGTTTAGGGTTAGGGAATTCGTGTTTCTGTCTTTTCAACCTACTGGCCGATTTCCTCCTGTTTTTGTTTTTTGTATCCCTGGAAGAGCAAGTCTGTCCCCCTTCACATGAGATTGCAAAGTGTTTGAGAGGTGTCTCCACCAGTGGCTTCCCTGGGAGGTAATGTTACCCCTTGCCTTTTGGCTGTTTTGCTCAGGATGAGGCCAAGGTGGAAATCCGGAAGCTGACCGACCCCCCGAAGGCGGAAGCCATCCGAGACATGGTCAAGTATGCCCGCAACGTCATTGAGGAGTTCCGCAGGGCCAAGCACTACAAATATATCCTTTACCCCCTGCCCAGCAGCTGAGCGCCACGCCCTGAGGTGGTGGGAAGTCTGGGAAAGGGGTCAGGAGAGAGGTGGGTGTGAAATTTTGGATTTTGAAGGAAAGGGGGTCTCCTGGTAAACATAGGAAGGTTCAGTGACCACCTGTTACGATGGTGCCAACCATAAGCAGCGTTGAAATGTGTTTTTTAGTTTTTTTGGTACATAATACACATATCATACAATTCAGTAGTTTGGCTTTATCAAGAAGAGTTGTACCAATTCCCCCAGTCAATCTTAGAACATTCTCTTCTTTTCTGCAGACATTGCGATTAGCTCCACATTTCCCCAACCTTCCTTGCTGTCCCCCCCAAGAAACCCAGTCACACTCTAGAGACTCCCCTGACCTGGATTTCATAAGATGATGTTTCTATTTGACTAGTTTGGTCAGGGGCTCAGCCTCATAGCAGAGATTCATTCTCTAAGACTAAAGAACTCAGTTCTCCAAGCCCATTACCTAGGGCTGTTTTCACTCGGGGCAGTGCACAGTGTGTGCCAATTTACATACACGCACAGCTAGTGCTCACGCGGAAACTGAGGGAGGTGTGGTCCTGGGTGTCAGCTAAGGCCACAGGCTCACAGTTGTCAGCCTACTGTCCCAGTTTCTGGGCTTTGCTCTTGGTTTGCTGAGTACCAAGAGCTGGGCTGCGACCACTCCCCCACCCTACCCTCACCCCCTGCATTGGAGCCCTGGTGGACAGTAGTCAAGGTTCAGTCACTCACTCGAGGCTGTCGGTTTGAAGCCACCTAGCGTCTCCCTTGGAGAAAGGCCTGTTCTCTGCTCCATCGAGATTACAGTGTGGAAGAGCTTGTGGGACATATTCCATACTCGGTCCCCTGTGGTCCCCAGTGTACTGAAAATATAGTTGATGGTCCCTGGAAGCCCTACCACCACTACGTTACAGCATTTTCTTGAGAACTGATAAGGAATTAGATTTGTACCCCGGAGTAGAACTAGAAGCCATGGGTTTGAGGAAGGCCCAGTGTTTCTCTGCATAAGAAGTGCTTCTCCCGGTGAGGCCCCACTTTAAAATGCCCCATATCCAGCGCTCCGCACCCTGCCTTCAGCGGAGATTTGGACTCCGGTAGGAGATTTTGAGGGTCTCTGATTCTGATCCCCATGCTTTTCATGCAGCCGTGTTCTCTGCGGTGACAATTCTCTGTTCTGTCTTGTGTTTGAGGCCTTGCATTCCTCCTAGCTTGTTTCTTCAAGAAAAATGTCATTTCTTTCACCCTCACCTGGTTTTATCCAACTGACTCTTGGGGGTGGGCAGGTGTGCTGGTGGCAGGCCAGTGGACCCCAAGGACCCATTGAGCCCAGCCTTGGGGAGTGAGTCTCCCTGCCAGTTTTGCCATGCCTGTGGTTTCCTTGACGCCACAGCACCCCCTAGTGAGCTGCTGGAGATCTGCGAGCTCAGCCAGGAGAAGATGAGCTCCATGTTTGAAGACAGTAATGTGTACATGCTGCACATGATGTATCAGGCCATGGGCGTCTGCCTGTACATGCAGGACTGGGAAGGAGCCTTGCGATATGGACAGAAAATCATTAAGCCCTACAGGTGACTGCCTGGCTTTTCTGATGGCCCTGGGAAGGAATAGTGCAGATCAGAGGCGTTGTCCTCTGCCTGCACCATGCTGGAGCAGGCCTGGAAGGGCCGTCTCTTCTCTGCATCCACTCTGGAAGGCTGGGCCTAGGACGCCGCACTGCCTGGCCAGGCTTGAACGTGCACCATCTCCAGGAGACCCTGAGGGAGGCAGGTTGAGGTGTTGCAGAGGGTGGAGGGGAGTGTGTGGTCCCTTCTGAGCCAGCACTAGAGCATTCAGGGCAGTGTTTAAAAGACACCTCCCCGCCCCCCACACACACCCTACTAAGTTATGTGGCACTTACTGATCAGCAATTGGTGACCTTGAAACCCCTGCTTTTGCATAACCACTACTCCACCAGGCTCCTCGGGAAGGGAAGGTTTCAGCATTTCCCCCAACTACATCCATTTGCAAGAGGCAGCTTCCCCTTGGGCTCCCCCTGCTGGCTACTGGGAGCAATGGGGGCCGGGTAAGTGGATGGCAGAATTCTCGGGGCCATGGAAGGCGCTGACTCCCAGAGACAAACCTGTGAGCACCCTCTTGCTTTTCCAAGTGGCAGCCCCAGTTCACAGAGGGGGCCTAGCCTACATGAATGGCAGGTGGGATGTGGTGATGTAAGGGCTCCCTTGGATTGAAGGAAAAAAAACAGTTGGGTTTTTAACCCGGCCTAGTAGCAGATGCTAGCTGTGTTCCTGACCGAGATGGTTATGTTATTCAGGAAGTCACAGCGTGCCTTCTGGTCCTCTGACCGGTCACTTCAGGCCTGGGCTGGGGGTTAGGGGGTGCTTTTATGTCACATACTTAGGGGGTCTGCCTCTGACCAAGGGCCTGGGACCCCAGTCCTTGAGGCCTGGACATCTGTGTGTTCCCCGAGCACTGCGGGCATTTCTCATCCACTCAGCAGCCTTCAGAATCCCTTCAGGCTCTAAGGCCGGGACTGCACAGTTTGTCTCTGGGAGTCAGCGCCCTCCATGGCCCTGAGAATTCTGCCCTCCACTTACCGCCCCCATTGCTCCCAGTGGCCAGCAGGGGGAGCCCAAGGGGAAGCTGCCTCCCAAAACCTGCTCGTGGTAATAGATGTAGTTGGGGGAAATGCCAAAATCTTCACTTCTGTGGGGAGCCTGGTGGCGTAGTGGTTATGCATTGAACTGCTAACTGGAAGGACAGCAGTTCGAGACCAGCCACTTCTCAGGAGAAAGAGGAGACTGTACTCCCGTCAAAGAGTTGCCATCTCGGAAACCCCCGGGTCGGTTCTACCTTGGTCAATTGGGGTGGGGGCTGGGGCTAGGAGTTGGCATTGATTCGATGGCAAAGATTTAGCCCCTTCCTTGGGGGCTAGTGAGGAAGCCCTCTGGCCTCATGCAGACTTCTCGGTGAGGTAGAGAGGAAAGTGGGGGTGGGCCCCTTAGCCTGGTGGTGGTCCCTCTGCAGGGCCTTGGCCTGGTGGGCCTCACCCAGAGGTCCCCCTCTGGCCTACTCGGGTTCCTGGCCCCCGGCTCTCCCCGGGCAGCACAGATAGATGCCTTCTGCCCAAGAATACAGCTAGAGCCTCTCTCTCTGGAACAAACTTTCTGGATAGGGAGTAGAACAGATTTGCCTGTAAGATAGCACCTACTCACACAGCCTCCAAAACCCACAAGGGCAGCTCTACCTGCCCTGGGGCGTCACACAGTCACCATCAGCTACACACACACACTGACACTCAGCAGTGAGCTGCCTCCTGGACCGTGTTTCGGGAGGAACGGCCACTATAAGAGTCAGGCAAGAGCACCTAATGTATAGAATGCCCTCTGCTTGGCAACCAGAGCCCTGGTGGTGCCATGGCTGGCTACAAGTCAGGCTGCTAAGCACCAGGCCAGCAGTGTGGAAGCACCAGTCGCTCAGCGGGGCAAAGATGGGCTTCCCGCCCTGCCTCTAAAGAGTGACAGTCTCCGAACCTCACAGGGACAGGTCTCCCCTGTCCTGCAGGGTCCCTTGCAGTCAGTTTTTGGGAGGTGTTGGCCTGACAACAGAGCGAGCATCTCTAGAAGGCACAACTTTTCTCCTGACTTCTCGAGACACCTCATGCACGTGTGTGTATGCGTGTTTGTGTGTGTGTGTGTGTGTGTGTGTGTTTTCACACATGCTTGGACTCGAGCTGCCTTTCTGACAGGATGTGATAGGCCCACTGGCGCAGCTCAGGAGGGGACATTTCATTTAAAAGATGCTCTCTTGATTGCCGGCCTTTGGACACCCCGGCATGCAGAAATCTGGGCCTGGATTGAGCATTGCGCTTACGCCGTTTGCGGAGAGGATTTCTCTGGGGGTCTTCCTGTGGCTTTTCAGAAACATCGAGACCGCATGAAACAAAGCACGTCCCCGAGGGTCGCCAGCTTCTTGCTATCCACTCTTGCCCCCTGGGATCCCTGGCCGGGTGAGAGGTGTCCTGGCTGCCCTGGAGAGCTCAGCCCTGGGCTGCCCCACGTGGGGCAGCTGGGCAGCCTTTGCTCAGGCCACCGCTGTTCTCTTTTCTCTCCCTGCAGTAAGCACTATCCTGTGTACTCCCTCAACGTGGCCTCCATGTGGCTGAAGCTCGGCAGACTGTACCTGGGCCTGGAGCACAAGGCCGCTGGAGAGAAAGCCCTGAGGAAGGTGGGTCTTCCAGCCTGCAGTGAGGGTCCGGGGCGTGGCCAAGCTCCTCAGCGACATCCCTTGGTGCCTACACCCATTGCGGGACAGTGAAGGACTCCTGACCCACCACCGCTGCCTGGGGGAGTGGAAGGGGCTGGACTAGGGAGGGAAGGAGCCGGGCACTGTCCGCACTTCCTGTGAGGGAAGCAGCACTGGAGGGGCTGGCCAGAGGGTGCTGTCAACCTCCTTCAGGGGGAGGCTCTGACTTGGGACAGAGACCTCGGTGAGGGGCTTCTCCATTTGTCTGTCCCAGGGGCTCTCACAGTAAAATCCAAGGGGTTGGACAGAGATCACTGCTAAATAGATAGCTTCATTTATGCCAGAGCCCACAATTATGTTTCCATTTTTCTTTGAATTCTCACACATCGAATGAGATTTTCCTGATGACGTAACTACCCCACCGAGGGTGGGTGGTGGAGCCTTAATTCAACCTCTTTGGGTCTTCTTGAGTCCAGAGCTCCAGGTCCTTCCCCTTGTGCTGGGGGTGTGATGTCTGGGGGCCCCCAGATCCTGGGCGGCTTGTGGCCCAGGGCTGCCAGAGGGGCTGGGGAATGTGGAAGTGAACAGTCTGTAAGCCTCATCCTTGGGGAAAGCGGTGTTCGTACCGCAGACGAGGGCATGTCGGGAACCGCGGGGCCAGGACTCGGTCTGCAGTCCTGTCCTCCAGACAGCGGCGCTCGCTCAGAGGCTGTCTGGGATGGAGGGAGTACGGTTCCGCGTTCCAGAAGACAGGGTGGGGTGCCCAGCCAGGCTTCCGGGGTGGGTTAAGCCTGAAGGGGTCAGTTTTTAAATCACAGGATGACAGAGGGAGGCCGAAGAAAAATTTTAGGTCCCGCTACCAGCCTGTCCTTACCTCTTTAGAACTGTGAAGAGCTGGTAGGTGACAATGCCCGAGGCATCCATGAGTGAGGAGGGTGGTACCTTTTAAACAGGTGATTCCTGAAGGCCAACCCTGTTACTCGGCCTGCCCCCTACTGGCTTGAGATTCAAGAGGAGACTAGAATGTACTAGAAAGGAAGGGCTGCTTCCCAGGGCCTCAGACAGTCCAGATTTGAGAGAATTAGTCAAGTGTGTGAACAAGGCAAGACTAATTGTAATAGATCCCATTTGATAAATGCATTTCTGTGTCACCCACCATCGCAAACACTTTTTGAGTGTCAGTGCCCCCGAGATGTGTGTCCTATTCCTGTTGCACAAACGAGGAAAGTGAGGGGCCCAGAGAGGCAACCGGCAGTGATAGAGCCACAGTAAATGCCACCTCGGCTTACTGCCTCGCGGTGAAGAAGTCCTGCGGGGCACCGATGGCACAAGGGCTAGGTGCTTGGCTGCTCTCTGACAGGTAACGGTTCAAACCTACCGGCCATCCTGAGGGAGGAAAATCCTGCTGATTTGCTCCCATAACAGTTCCAGCCCAGGAAACCCTACAAGGGCAGTGCTGTCTCCCATGTCCTGTAGGGTCAGAATCGACCTTGACAGCTGATAGCAAGGACCTGAAGCAGCCTTAGTAACTCCTCAGAATGAGCCGCGTCTGTGCTGAAGTTTTCTGCAACTTGGAGATGAAAGCGTGCACGCTCTGACAGGGAAAAACAGTCTCCCGTCGGTGTGCGCTCGGTGCGGTGCTGGGCAGGCGGTAGAGACCGCTCACTGGTGGCAGACCAGACAAGATTGCATCCCCTTTTCAAAAGCTAGCCCGTGTAGGAGACCATGGGTGCTTTTTTTTTTTTTTAAAGACAGTTTTATTGGCATATACAATTCAATAGTTCAGTCACATAAACATTCGTTGAACAGTCTTTACCACAATCCATTTTAGAACAATTTCTTCTTCCTGGTGCCCTTTGTTATTCTTGTAAGTTATTCTTTTTCAATTTTGGCAGAAATATACACAAGAAAACATTCTCCAGGTTAACGACTTCTACATGTATAATTTTGTGCCGTTGACAATACTCTGTGCTGTAGAGCCATTACTCACAGCCCTCTCCAAATTGTTCCACCACCGCTAAGAGACACTCAGTGCCGCTGAGCAAACACTTCCTCCTCCACCAATGGTAACCATCGGTCAAGTGTAGTTGTTTGTGGTTTGACTTTGTCGTTTTCTTAATATGCGCATATCATACACTTTCATAGTTAAATCACTTTCTAAAGCGTTGTTAGCCATCATCGTAATCAGGGGTTTTTTTTCATCATTTTTTGGGAGCGTCTTAACAGCTCCTAACACCATCCACCCATCCATCGTGTTGAGCACATTTGTACATAGGTTGCCATCATCATTTTCAAAACATATTCTTTCTACTTGAGCCCTGGGTCTCAGCTGGAGACCAGGCGTTCGAATAGCGAGCTGCTCACATCTTGGGCCTTAACCAACGAGGTCTCCCTGCATTAATGTCGCCTGGGAAAGATGGGAGGTCTTTGGCTTCTGACCCTGACCCCTATCTTCTCTCTGTCCTAGGCCATGGCCATCATGGAGGTAGCTCACGGCAAAGATCACCCGTACATCTCTGAGATCAAACAGGAAATCGAAAGTCACTGAAGCTGTGCACGTCTCGGTGTCTGTTTAAATCCCCGGACAGACGCCGGAAAACCAGTATTTCAGATCTTGCACATCACCCCAGAATGGAAATGCTACGTGCGCCTTCGCCTTTCTCGTTGCTTTCTGGGAGGTTGGTCTTAACCTTTAACTTAAGAAACAAGTTCCTTTTTGGATGCTGCCTCGCCCCCGGATATATGGCATGATCTCATGTACAATATTTTGCACAGGCCGCATTGACCTTAAAGTGCAATCCTTTTCCCCTTCATGCCTGTTGTCTGGGTAGATGTCAGTTTTTAAATGCTAAAACCTGTCCCCCTCCATGCTTGTTGGTATGTGTCTCAACAAACCTGAATGGTGCAGGGAATAAAACAAACACAACTCACAGTGTTTCCTCCTTTATGAGGGAGGGGAAGGTCTCCCAGGTGCTCCTGCGGTGGAAGTGACACTAGGGTACACCCCAGTGGCCCCAGGTGCCCCCTCAGCGTGGGTGGAGCCCAAGGCCTCTGCAGTCTGCAGGTACAGCCCTGGGGGAGGAAAAAGACATGGGGGGGCGGGGAGGTGTAAGAAAGAAAAAGTGGGCAAGTACCTTGTAAAGCTCATGGAAAATGGGAAGAAAAAGATGGTGCGATTTGTCCACGCGCTTTTTGCAGTCCTCCGTGTGTATCGGTGGCAGGGAACCACGGAGTGGGAAGCGTGTGGCTGTGTTGCTTCCCTGGGGCGGTGAAGGCCTTGGAGCCATGAACTGCAGAAAAGCGCTTGAAGGGACTCTTGCTCTCCTGGCTGTTTTTCAACCTGTCTGAAAGCATGTTTTCCCTCGTTGGTTCTCGGAATTGTTCTGAGAAGTGGCCTTCCTTGTTTGGAAAGTCTCCAGGGTAAGCTTGAGAAAGCAAAAAATAATAATAATTTTTTTCTTCCTTACCAACTCTCATGTTGTGGAGCAAACATTGATCTCCACCGGCACTTGGCAGCCCAGCACCCTGCGGGGCGGCCACCTGGATGGAGAAGGGGCTTTGTTACCTCGCAGAGAAGGCTGGCTCCCCAGCACTAGGACACTTTTTTTTTTGTTTTTTTTGTTTTTGACCAGGAAGGTAGAAGATGCATGTTTATTTCCATGAGTTACAGAATCGCAGGCAGTCTTTATATAACCCACTCGCCACCACTATCAAAGAGCAAACAAGAAAAAGACTGCTGAGAAACGGGAAGCTAAACACAGGCTGGACTTCTCCTAAGTGACAGGATGGGCCCTGGTTTCCGTGGAACACGACGCAGAGGTAACGAGAGACAGCTGCATTTCCACCACAGGCACGTGGCACTGGGACGGTCGTCTCTGCACAGGAAGCTCTAACAGTCATGCGAGGGTACAGTGATTATTGAACAAGGCAAAGTTCTCACCAAAGAGAGCAGTGGGGGGTGGGGGTTTGGGGGGGCGCCACACCAGTGGGCGCTGAACACCAAGTCAGTTCCGCAACACGCCTGCACGGAGGAGCGGCCGCAGTGCGTGGGACTCGGTGAGCTTTGTTGGACGGTCTGGACGCAGCAGAACCGGAAATGCTGGAAGGTGCTTGACGACAACAGTGCTTCACGTCAGGTGCTCATGAAGGCTTTGTTACAAACTGTTCAGAGTGTGGCTTGGGGAACGGACTGAAGTGCTGACATGCTGTAGAAGGGGGAGAGAGTGGGAAACTTCCTCGTTGAAAGACGCAGTGGTCTGCTCGAGTCAGCAGGCAGAGAGTGCAAGGGGAGAGATGACGCGCATGGTATACCAACACTCAGAGCGGCTACAGAGTACATCTGGGCCTGGGGTCTCCCTCTCTGAAGGGTGCAAGGCCACAGGGAGCCGGTATATGCTCAGTATAGCCAGCACTTTCTTTTGTTTAGAAAGATGGGGGACTTTTTAAAAGCCAGGCCAGAAGCACAGGCTCTCTCAGGGTGTGGGGAGTGGGCTGGCGGGTGCCCCCAGTGGGCACTGAAGTGGTAGCCTATGCACGTGCACTGGTACACTCCAACATGCAGTGCCCTGGTGGGAGCCTTCCCTGGTGTGCAGCAGAACCAGAGCGGAGCTAGACGCCACCTCCCTGGGAGAGTGAGAGAGAGGTCAGTGGGCGGGATGGGGCGGCCTGAGGAACCACAGCATCTTTCAAACCAGAAAGTGATTAGTGACGAAAGCAACGGTAAGCAGTCAGCACTAGGACACTTCTTGCAGGAAATCGGCTCAGAGTCAGAAAGGAAGTCCCCTACCGGTTAGGAATGAAAGCCTGTCGGGTTTGCACTTGAATTACCTTGCACTGTTACAATCCGGAAACTGGAAACGGCTTGAGCGTACCTCATGCCTCACACACACCGTTAACTGTGAGCCCTGTGACCCCATGGGGGGGGGGGGGGGTTGTCCCCAGTGGCACTTCACCAATCACTTGTGGTATGTGAAGCGCTCACAGGCCGAGTAAATGCGGGTTTCAAAAATGCTGACTTCCCTTGTCCTGTGTGGCCAAGCCTAAAATACGCCTAGCTCATCATTTCCTTTCCTTAGATTTCATAAAGCTGTAAAAGTCATGCTCAGAACAGGTGCAAATACTGTTTGAATGCGCATGTGCAATTTCACCAACCTCTTGCAGTCACATAAATGTCAGAGGGGCTCTGCTGCGGTAGTGGGCTACTCGTTGGATCGGTGGTTCAAGCCCACCTGCTCCCGCAGGAGAGAGACGAGGCAGTTTGCGCGGTGGGCTCTTGGACTCTGCCCCGTGGTTGGAAAGGACCCACTCTAGGTGCCCGATGAGGGTAGCCCGCTGCCGCCGAGTGCCCCGCTCGTCTCCTGGGTCCCGAGTCAGAATGGACTTGGTGTTGATGGTTTGTTGTTTCTCTTAGTTCATCTACATAAAGAGATTTGAAAGCAGGCAGAACGACAGTGGCGTACTGTAATCCGCTCTGACAGTTTGGGTCTCCATTTCAGCACCTACAGATGGGCCTCATTCATTCCACCATTCTGTTCATGCGCTTGCCCCATTCTGCTGCTGCTCCACACAATACCATGATGGCCAATCCTAAATCTACCACGCTACTGGACTGTAAAACTATATTTGGAAATTCTTAAGATAATTGTTGGCTGGTGAAAATATACACAGCAAACCATGCGACAATTCATTTCTACCTGTGCCATTTTGCGATATTAATTATATTCACCTAGTTTTCAACCAACCATTCTCATGCACCTGTAAGTTGTTCCTTCTGTTAACATGAATCCCCCCCCACGAGTCGGAATCGACTTGATGGCTGGGGTTTGAGGGTTAAGGTGCTTATCTAATGTTTTGAGTTGCTGTTCCCAATTTTGGAGCCCTGGTGGTATGGTTACAAGTTGGGAAGCTAACTGCAAGATTAGCAGTTCGAAACCACCCAACTGCTCGCAAGGGAGAAAGGTGGATCTTTATACTCCTGAAAAGTTATGGCCTCTGCAGCTCCCGTCCTATAGGGTCACTATGAGCCGGAGAGTTTGGGTTTTTGTTGTTGTTGTCAAATTGATCCCATATAGATCTTAAGAGATGCTCAGAGTGGAGCTGTTTTAATGTGAAGATGAACTGTTGTCTGGTTTTAGGGGACTTCACAGGAGAAGACTTGAACTCTAAAGATGGGCTCAGGGCAATCGCTTCAGCAGTCCATCTATCCTCCCTGACTCTAGGACAAGTGGGAACTTTTTTTTTTTGCCAAGGGCCATTTGGATATTTATCACATTCCGGGGTCTGACTGGTCAAACATGTAACTCGCTCACCCCTCGCGTGATGGCTGAAGCTGCTTTTTCTTTGGTGAGACGGGTGATGTGAGCCGGTAGTGCGGATTTCATGGGCCTTTCAAGACCCACAGGCTGGACGTTGCCCGTCCTTTCTCTGAGAAGCCCGGAGTCCTGGGTAACTTGGAATGTTATTCTGCATTACCCCTCACCTGCCCTCCAATTGATTAGTAGTCTTCTGTGGAATCTGTAGTCAAAATATCTCAGTGGCAGTTGCTCACGAGGCAGTTGGCCACACATTCCACGTCGATCTCCGTTTTTGACTCCGGTCCAACAGCCTTGAATGGCCGCTTGTCGGCGTTGAAGCCCCTGGGCTCCGTGCAAGAGCCAGGAGGTAGGACCGCAGCACACAGAGCCCGGGAGGTGTGTGTGTGGCCTAGCAGCTGCCTGCCTCTGTTTGGTTCTTGGTAAGATTTTCAAGGTAGAATGTCAGAATCAAATAGGAACTTTTATTTGCATCGAGTACCAATAGGAAGTGATAGTACTCGTTTTTCCTTATATTGTTTTTCCCCCTTTAAGTTTGTCTTTCTAAGGTGCATTATTTTCAATGCGTTCATCTCTGAAACTAGGCACTTTTTCTTATATTTAGGAGTTATTCTATAGCCTTTATGGCTTGGTATTTATGGTATTTTGCCTAATTTGCCATTTGTCCGTGCGTGGAATAATTTTTCTGCCGCCCTGAGTGGGGTATCGGCTTTGTTTTGGGAGTGAGTGTCTTCCCGGACTGCCGGCACTTCACCTTTCAGGCTGCTTGTTGCGAAGGCATATTGTTTTCATCTGTCAATGAAGAAAAAACGACTTTAAATTATTATCTTATCTAACTAGAAGTTGTTTAATGGTGAAAGATCCAGTTAGATCCTTTAATAAAGTTTAATTCTCAGAAATTGTAGCCACTTGCGCCAGCATCATTTATTGAATAATTGCTTTCCGCCCACTGATTGGAAATGCTACTGCCGTTGTTGCCCAGGGCTCGGGTCCACTCACTGATGTGTCCTGCTGTTCTGTCAGGCTTTCGCGGCTCTTGTTGTGACGAGCTCTATTTCTACTGTGTGGGGGGGGACAAGTCTGCTGAGTGGCTGGAGTTTGTCATGGAAAAGCATACAGTGTAGAAGTCGGCCTGGTTCATCCTGTGTTGTGACGTTACTGCCCAGTGGTGTGTGTACTTACTTGCGCATGCATCCTTGTTGCTCTGACTCTGTGTGTAGCTTTTGCTTTGCCTTTGTGGATCTTGTGTATTTCTCTCTTTCACAGTCTGGTAGTATTTTTACTGGTGGTTGCCATTTTGTCTCTAAGGTGAAACGTCCAATCTTTTCCATTCAGCAACTGAAGAAAATAAACTTCTTTATTAGCCCATGAAAGATAGTAAGTGTGCCTATTCTCTCCCCACCCTGCCTAACATGTCACTGTTATCACCGGCATATATTGGCTATCATCTTTTTTTTTAAAGACATCTTTCAGGAAGGACCATTTTCATTGCCACAGTCCCCTCTTCACGCCGGGGCGGGGCAGGATTTGCTGCCGCCGCGTTCTTTCATTCTGGAGTGACCTTCAGTATTCTCATTTTCAGGTTGGGGCCTCTGGTCGGTGAAAGACCAGTAAGAGCT